AATGTAAATAGCTTGTTACGTATAACATCATATTTGGTACATTCCATAACAACATGAAATTACACATGTGCATAGGTGCCTAAGGTGGAGACTGTCACTTCGTTCAATTTTGGGACTGACTGATTTATGAAGTGGAAGAATGTGAGATCATGTTAAAACTGTGGCCAGTAATTTTGTCTTCTTTTTCCTTCCTGGTTTCATAGCTATCTAACTTTAGGCCACACCAATTTGATTTCTTGGTTCTTGGATTTTTTTTCAGAAAAAATATGAAGCGAAAGGGAAAAAAAATAAAATGAAATAAAAACAGACCTTGGCATCCTATGATAACCCCAAATGCTATTGTAGGAGCCATAAAGTCAACATACCAGGCTGGTTTGTAATTCAAGCAATGAATTCATAACTTTTAATTAAACCACTGCATTGATAAAGGGAAAAACTGTAACAACTCTGCAGAGAAGGGGCTTCCTTCAACTGCCAAAATATGAGCATTTTTTTGCAAATCAGAAAAAAATTAAGCGGGTGGATCCGTGAAACAACAAAATAAATTGGTGTGGCCTTAGTTATTAGGTATTTCAAGTCCTATAATAGCCTGCAACACTAGTGGGCACTAGCCTTGCCAGTTTATAAGGTCCGTAGTACTTTTCGCTCGACTGAGCATTTTGAGTGGTCACTGGTTGGGCCCTATTCTGGTCAAGGCTGGAGCTAAGCTGGTGCATTCGCGCTGAAATGATGCCTTCAGCCTCCTGATATATACAGTCTGGCATAACTTCTGAACGATTACATGGGCCACAGCAAGGAAATTGTAGGGATGACAGCCACATGCCTTGATTTTCACATGTCTTTTTAAACAACAACAAAAAAATTTTGTGGTGGCATTTCATATGACAAGAAAAAGCCAAAAGTTAGGAGGATATGTTTTATGCTAAAATTGAGAGTATATGTTGTAGAAGTGACCATGAGTGTAGTTTGATAAATGAAATTAGTGTGGTAGTTGTAGCCTACATGTGTACATGTATACTGTAGTTGTAGTGATACAAGGCCACAACACTAGTGTCACTTCTCGGATACAAGAAGAAAAGTATGTTGTCTATTTAATTTATATTTTGTTGCTTCATTCCTTGTTACATTAGTGACATGTCTATTTTGAAATTTTGCTTTTTTTGAGCTCCCTATGAATTTTATACTTGCTTTTGCCACACATATAGCAACTGGTTGGGTCACGAAAATGGACTCCTGCACTTGACAGTGGAACAACTGAGCATATTAAAGACAAAAATACAGCCATCCATATCTATCAATGCATCTATGTTTCTTCAAAACGCTGCCAATGTTACAATCCCATAGTTCCTATGGACCACGAGAGATATTGATTCTCTTTGCCAGTGCCAAATCCTTGACCATATTCATCCTCTTCTCCGAGCCAGAATCAATGCAACTGCATGACCCCATCCCATATTTCAAAACTTGCTGGATTTTAGTCTTTGTAGCTGTCTATATCGAAAGAAAATATACATGCAAAATGTATTTAAAATGTACAGTCATAAGTGTAAGTAAATTAAAATCTATAATATTATATCCCCCTATATATGTCTGAAATATGTAAAAAAAAATCTACTTTTTAGGCCACACCAATTTAATTTGTTGGTTCTCGGATTTTTTCAGAAAAAATATGAAGCGACAGGGCGAAAAAAAATAAAAATAAAAACAGGTCTAGGCATCCTATTATAGGCTTAAATGCTGCAAAATGAGCCATGAAGTCAACACAAAAGGCTGGGTTAAAATTCAAACATAGAATTTTGAACTTTTAATCAAACCACTGCAATGATAGATGGGAAAACTGTAACAACTAGAAAGAAAAGGACTTTCCTCAACTGTTGGGGGGCAAAACATGAGCATTTTTCAGTTGATTCAGGACCAGAATCAATTTTTTTTTTTTTTTTTTGCAAATCAGAAAAAAACGAAGAGGCGAATCCGAGAACCAACAAATTAATTTGGTGTGGCCTTAGATCTAAAAACAAAGCAAAATGATAAAATGTTCTCCTGAAATTGTCTTAAGTAAAGTACATTACAGATTTTCTAAAGAGATGTGGCATAAAAATTTAATGTTCATGATTTTATTCACTGCACACTCTTGTCATGAGAATAGAAAGTGGCATTGAGCCCTAGGCTAATGTAATATGGAAGAACAAAATACATCATAGATTACAATATAATAATACTAATAATTATAATACTAACCACAACAAAAGTTCTAATTTTCTTCACAATCAATAAAACGTTGCCTGCTCCAACTTACATGAATTAATCTCTATGACTAATACCATCTCATTATGGGTCAGCAGCCAGAAATACCGCCCTGTCCCCTGAGACAGTCGCACCCGAGAATTTTATCATTCCAGTTGGCATTCCTCTGCAATAGATCGGTCCCCAGGCACACCCTACGGCGTACAATTTTGATCCACGTTAATGTTTATGTTCAACCCCCACGGGGCTGATAAAAATTGGCACCAAGACAGGGATGAGGGTCCTTAATTGCCTGATGGCACAGTTTCCCCCAGGATTCACTAGCTACAGTACACTTTGATGTCGCAGATATCAGGAACATTAGCGGAAATTAGCATCGCCTGGGTACAAGTGCGGCTCTGGATAAAAAAAGTGGCCCGACGGCGAGTTTCAGAGATGAGAAAATGAGATCTGTTCTCCCGAGAATGGGATCATTGCATTTTTGGAAAAGTGGGAGGTCGTCAGTTAGATCACTGTCTTTTCTGAGAGTGTCATCGTTGGTTTTTGTTGAGAATATAAAGGCTGACATGATGTTGATTTTGAAGCTAATCACTAGCTTCAAAGCAAACATTTAGACGATCTGACATGCTTTGGATAATCATGGCTTACAAAGCTCTTTTTTTAGGAAATAAAACGTATGTTATAATAACACCACCCTCCCAAACTTGTGCTGAATGTATATTTTGAACTTTTAATGTACAAAAATGTTTTCTTGTTTTTATTTTTTTTTGGGGGGGGGGGAATGATTTCATCTAAAATATTCAAAACTGTATAGGTGCGAGGAAGATTTTTCTTTTAATTCTTACAATTTCTAGACATTCATTCATCCTACAATTCTATGGCACCATCTTCGTTTTGATGTTAAAGTTATACAAATTTCCTTTTCAACATTTAATTAAGTAACAGCCTCGAATGTGAAATCCTGTTGTCACGCTTCCCACAGCCTCAAGTCATAACCATGGTAGTTAAGGATAAAAAAAGTGAAAGACTTAGTGATCTCGAACCAGTTTAGCTCGTTGAAGAGCTCTTCCACTGGTCGTGACAGAGAAGACACACGCTATGTACAGTATTTACAGGTTCATTGTACCAGGGGAATTCCCCTAGCTCTTTTCGACAAGCACAATGAACAGTGAGACACCAGCTTAACGTCCCGTCCAAAGGACTGCGACCCTAAACAGTAGCGTGCATGTCAGGTGAGCGACAACAGCCAGGATTCGAACTCCCAACCTCTTAGCCCAGAAGCAGGTTTGCTAACCACTGGATACCAAAGCTACTGATAGGATAAGGATGAATGTCCCTGAGAAATGCCAGTTTCCAACGCCCTATTACTACTGATGACTCATCCAGGGTCTACAGCATGTAATAAACCTTATCGCTGCCACAATCTCTCAACCCCTTAGTAGGCAGTTTGGGGAATGAGCCCATACTTTTTTCAACACATCAAATTTCACACGCTCTCTCTCGGGTCTCATAATATAAAGTTATGGTTACTAAATCGTTCAGTCATTGTTTTAAGTTAAGAAAACGACTGTTGAGACATAAGACACTAGAGCTTCAGTTGGTGAATCAGTTTAAGGGAATGAGCCCATACTTTTTTCAACACAGCAAATTTCACACGCTCTCTCTCGGGTCTCATAATATAAGGTTAGTAATGGCTCAGTCACTGTTTTAAGTTAAGAAAATGACTGTATAGTCATGAGATACCAAAGCTTGGTGAATCATCACAATACCAACAGATATTGATGAATCTTTGGAACTACAATTATAAATCATGTCTGTGATTAACTCAGTGTATTCTTAACGCATCTCATCAAAGCCACACAATTTGTTGGTTATTTAATTTTTTTAAAGAAATCAGATGCTATATTACGTATATATGACTAATATCAAGTAAACATGAAACAGAGATGAGGGGAAAGTCCGTAAATTGGCACACACAATTTCAAGGAGTAATATGATATTATAAACTTAAGACAGTCCTCTTTTTTGTGATGTCCTTTTGCCAGAATTATACATAAAATGTCCTAGAACCAAGCAATTTCATTGGTGTGGCTTTAAAACAAGAAGAATATAGTCATGGGTCTGTCGTATCACCTTAAGCTCAATGCCTAGAGAAGTGATCATTTGGCTTTGCATTGAGCGACACAAAATATGTGATATACAATTGTTAAAGTTAACACTTAAGAGGCTATTTACATCACATTGTCTACCAGATACCTTTGACCCAGTGTTGATGTCACACTTTAAAAAAGTCATGTGACAAGCCTCACTGGGTCAGTCTACTGAGGAAGACCAGTCAGTGACTGGTCGAAAGCTCTAGGTGAGAGAACTTCTTTGTGTTGGATCAAAAGTTTTAACTTTAAACATGTAACGTTAACTACCAACACAGATGAACTTTCATGATAGAATATAAGTACTTGTCGTCACAGCACACACAAAACACTTAACTCTTGTCCTGCTGGCATTTTTTACAGAATATTTTTCAATAATTTCATGTCTTAATCAGGTCATATGCCCTTGACTTTTTTTTGCCACTTCCGCATTTGTTGCATTTTGCTGCAGTGTGATGCGCTGTATGAGAAATACCCCCCCAAATCGTATATATACGGGACACTATATTTGTATATGGTACTCGTATGTGCAACCCATATAATATATATTACATGCTCCACAGGACAAGGGTTATAAGATAGTTGAAGAAGGTAGAATGTACTTACTTGGTATTCCTGCCACCAACTTGAGTGGTCGTAACACCCTCACCGCTCGGAGGGTGCGCAAATCGACATTGTTACTTTGGACAAAGGTTGACATGAGGCTGCATGGGGTCGTGCGGGCGGCGGGAGAGAGATAGAAAATAAACAAAAGGGCGCGGGTAAGGTTAAGGGTTTGTTAGTGCATCACATAACATGTTACAGCTTAAACATCAACTGTCATAATCCTACGCCAAAAAAAAGTTACTCAAGCAACTGGATATGATTTTGGAAACGGTCAGACATTTCAGCTAGTATCCACTAGCTTTCGTCAGTTTACTGTGAGACCAGAGGAGAAATGTAGGTTTATAAGCTTTCAAAAAATTGTCTTCACTTTATTTGCATATCAATCAATAGTTTGTGCTTACAAACCTGCATTTCTCTTCTGGTCTCACAGTCACTGACAAAAGCTAGTGGATACTAGCTGAAACGTCTGACCGTTTCTAAAATCATATCCAGTTGCTTGAGTAACTTATTTTTGGCGTATCGTGTTACCTGGATGTCTAACTTTCGTCGACATCTCATAACCCTAGCCTGAGTGTCAGCCTTTTTTAGCTTTCGTCCGTTCCCTACGATCCACTGCTTTGGCCAGTAGCGGATCATGGAGAGCAGACGAAAGCTAAAAAGGCTGACACTCAGGCTATCATAATCCTTCCAAATTTAATTTTAAAAAAAATGAATTTAAATGATTGAATACTGAATTAGTAATCCCAAAGGACTACTTATTCTAATATCCAAGTGTTGGACACATTCTTGATAAGACCGTTTTGTTATATGTGGTGGTCTAATGGTATGCAGGATAACTATGAAAGTTGATGTGACATTATGTAGAATACAGTTATAAAATGAAAGTTTGCAATTCAAAGAAATTGACGACAATTTGTTACTATAACAATGTTATTTAAAGAACATTTAAGCAATATTACATATTAAGCAAACAACAAAAAATTGTTCGAATATAAAGTTAGCTACAATTTTTTTGGCTTTTGTAGATTGGTAAGCTTTGAACTGTATCTTTGTGTGCAATAGAATAGACTAACAGAGAATAGCATTCATTTGATATTATTGAGACTTGTCAAACCTGGATAGCCCAAAACCATCACCGCACATTATCCAAGACTCGTTACCCACATTGATTTGGCCTCAGGCCCACTACATGTAGAACCTGATTGTGCATTAGCCATCTTTGTGTGAGATTAATGACAAACCCACAAATTAAAATGCTGGCAAACCACCAGAAATCAGCCCCTGGGACGCATGAAGCATCCAAGAAGGCATGATAGAGCGCTCTGGGGACGCTGTATTTATTCCACTCCTTTCCAATTTGTGGGCAAAGTACTTGGAACATATTGCAGCCCCATTTCTCAACACTCTTAATAGCTCCATATTTTTCGATTTTCTTTTATCCATCATTTCCCAATAGATTTATTTCTGTGACTTCTTGTACGGAATAAGTGCTAAAATTTACGTGTTGTTTATCCAATAAAATGTCCATTAGGCGAGTGACATAGCATTTTGACTTGGAATTTTTACAATGCATTCTACTCTGAAATAACATTAGTACTAGCAGGTATTTTATCAGTGTCACTGAACCCTTGCAATATATAACCACCCATGTCAAAATGTGTAAATTTAAGGACTTTGGTATAATTATACATATTTTTCAAGGAGTTTGGTATAGTTATATATACTTTTAATGAGTCTGGTATAATTATATATATATATATGTTTCAAGTAATTTGGTACAATTATGCATATTTTTCAAGGAGTTTGGTATAATCATACATTTGCAAATTTTTCTGAAAAATGCAATTGTACTAGCAACCATGTTGTTGCTGAAAAGACTGGCACATTTTGGTGATATATTTACGTCATCGGGCATACCAAACTCCCACAAGAGTAGGGGTGGACAGCTTTTGCATGTTGATACAGTCAAAGTAGTGAGCAGGATAAATACATTTACAGTACATGACATTATTCATACATGTACATGTATTTAGCTTTGATAGAAAGTTCTTTAGTTGTGAAAAACCATACAAAAGTCCCTGAACTTTTTGTTGAGTCAACAAAAAATCTGTAATGTCAACACAAAAACGACAAAATCTAATACAGCAGCAAAACTTTGATTAGTTTAATTATTAATTATTTTCAGGTTAATTTTATGGGAATATAAGATGCTTAAGTTGCGGGATGTGGACAGAGGAAGTGGGGACAAGGTAAGGCCTTTATTCCAACATTTATAATAATTAAACAATTAATTAACCACACACTCACTTTCTATCCTATATAACATTGTTAACGGCCGCAGCCCACGTAAGGCTCGAAAGGCGGGTTGGTCAAAGTAGGGATCAGAGAGTGCCAAGACTCTGTCACAAGGGAATGGTTAGAAAATGGGGCAGGTGGAGGGTGGAGAAAGAGAGAAGAGGCTTTTTAATTGCCAATACTGTATAATTACGAAAAACTTTTATGTAATTTTGATATGTAAAATACAAATATGATGAAGCAAAATTTTAGTAATGTAAATATTTTTAATAATGTAATAATTAAATAATGTAAATATTTTTGATGATGTAATAATTTAATAATGTAAATATTTTTAATGTCAGAAGCAACTCAACTGCCTCGATTCCATTATAAGACTATGTAGCCGTGAATGTTTTTAACAATGTACATCTATGAAATGCAATTCAGCCTTCAGCTGCAATGTTCATGATTGATCAATAAGAATTTTTTGATTGATTGATTGATTGATTGATTGATTGAATAGCTTACAGTGTTTGTCATGTGATAGACAAGAATCAGTATCCGAATAATCTGCTATGTTTACTCTTAGGGCTTTTTTACAAGGGAAAAATAGAATAAATGACAATACTTTACATCATGTTAACTTTAGATATAACTTAAGATATGATTAGCTCAAAGAATCAGTATCAGGATAATCTGCTATGTTTACTCTTAGCTCTTTTCTAGGAGGAAAAATAGATGATGAAAGCTCTTTTTACATGTTAACTTCAGGTATGATAAGCTCAAAGATAGACACAAAATATATACTTGTGTGGACTACAGTAATTTCTATCCATCTTTCATCCTAAAAAGTGTTATTTGCCCAGCCTTTTCAATTTTGTCTCTCACAAAAGACGTTGAAGGGCCTTTTCTTTTTCATTAAGCAAGTTTCTGTTATGAGTCCCGGAATGTGACATTCCCAATGCAATTAACTCTGTCTGCTCCATATCTGTGTCTGTCTCAATCAGTAAATTGGACCATTTAAGGCCACAGCAAGTTAATGAGATGTTTGTTATTTTTTTACACTCAACCTAATGTTTAGTACTAAAACTCCTTAGTTTGTAACTGATCACATAGCAAGTGTCCATTTCCATTGGCTGAACACATTCTTGTCTTGCGTCATGAAACACAACAGTTGGTTGTTCAAAAGAAGTAATTTTAAATCATTGTCTTGACAGGAAAAATTGCTAAATCGTGGTGAAAATGCTTTTTCACTTTTTTGGGCAAACCAACCCACATATACAAGAAAGCACAACATCAATTCAAACTTTTCCAGAATGCTAAAATCAAACAGTGAAAATTTGTATCCATACAATTTAAAAAACGTTCTACAATGATAAGTTTTTTTTTCACACAAGATAGGGTCAACACCTATTCACAAACCTCAGGGCTCAAAATTAAGGTCAAAGTTTAGTATACAGCATATTGTTAACATCTGAGTGTCAGAAAAATTATAAAATCATTGTTGTAGTACTTTAGAAATGAAACATAATTAGTTGATGCTGACATCCTAGTTATTTTATTTTATATGGTGCATCCCCCCAAAAATTTGTGCACTCAATTTTTTAGGTTGCAAAAATGACTTTAGAGCCCTGAACCTTGATGTCAATATCTGCTGAAACAAACCAACTGAGGTGTAGACCGTTTTTGAACAGCAGGACATTTCATAATTGGCTTGAGGGACATGAGGCAAGCTCAAATTTGGTTCATGAATAATTAATTTTCTTCGGCGTTTGAACCATTTAATAAGGATCCGAACTAGTTTTCCTATCTCTAAATATGTATCTCAGATCTATCAAGCATGTCTAATTATATGCCTTTCCATAAAAAGTAAAGATAAATTTCAAAGACGCAGTTTACGATATTTATATTTAATAGACGGATTTAGAATGTTGGTGCGTGAAATCTCTAGATCTTGTAACTTCATGTAAAGAAATTTCGTTTCAAAATGCCTTTAAATATGGCGTTCCTCCAAACTCAGTGACACATAAATGTTCATACAGTAGAGACAATCCCTAGCTTTTCCGACGTACTAAATACAGAATCCGATTTTCTTTTCTAAAATTGCAAAGGCGGCCGGCTGGTAACAATTGTTTACTACCCCGAAGGAATGGTTGTGGACAAAACAAATCATTTCACAGTCGGCACGAATTTTGCTCGGGCTCTTCGGTTTTCAGTTCGGCTATACTGGCAGTGCCGCTGTGAAAAAATCATGTCCCGAACGTACTTTCGCCTTTTTGAGTCGTGAAGGTGTTAGGTATACGTAGATCGATCTTTCCACTGAGTATTCTACAGGCATGCAGGCTTCAGTCCCCTTCAGACAAGCTTATCGCACTTTTGCTAAAACAGGATTGCCTTCAGCGCGTTCAGCTAAAAAGCTTTTATATCCAAAACCTTCGCCTCTGCAGTAACAGTTCTCGCCGATAATAGCGGACGCCCTGCGCAGAATTTAAAACAAAAATCGGTAACGTAACGTCTGTAAGAGGATCGTCCTCAGACGTGGCGTTTTTCTAACGATTTCTGGAAAGACAAACTTCCGCTGAAGTATCAGTGAGCTGTACAAGGTTGTCCGGTGCAGTCAGGAGTTCGGTCGAAGGGTTCATTGATTGCAAGAGAGCAAAGGCCGCGGATCCGACAAGATCGTTCGGAAACTATCCCTGGCTACAGTTTTGAAACAAGCTTGTAAACTCTGGCACGATTTTGGTTTCTGTGCTTTCTAAACGTTTATTAAATGTCTACAGACGACCTCGCCTCTTTCGGTCGTAGGAAACGTCGCGAATAGTCGTTTAGCAAAGGCCGCGGACAAGATCGTTCGGAAACTACTAGTATCCTTGGCTACAGTTTTGAAACAAGCTTGTAAACTCTGCTGCGATTTTGGTTTCTGTGCTTTCTAAACGTTTACTAAGAGTCTACAGATGACCTCGCTTCTTTCGATCATAGGAAACGTCACGAATAATCGTTAAGCAAAGGCCGCGGACAAGATCGTTCGGAAACTATCTCTGGCTACAGTTTTGAAACAAGCTTGTAAACTCTGCTACGATTTTGGTTTCTGTGCTTACTAAACGTTGACTAACTTTATTGAGCCAAAGTGTTTAATCTGTTGATTCAGACATTGAGTGCAGTTTGTATTATTGACCCTTCTATGAATGATTTATGTTGTAAACAAGCATCGGAATTCAGCGTTGTACATCACGGCTGCCAGTCATGCTGTTGTTGATACAAATAAACCAATAAACAAAACAATAAACAACTAAAAGTCTACAGACCACCTCGCCTTTTTCAGTCGGAGGAAACGTTGCGAAAAATCGTTTATGCTTCGTACCTAATTCATGAACGTATCTAATGCTAAGAGTTGATCTGCTAACCTTCATATATATAATGATTTTATGATTGAACGTATATTTTTTAAATCTGACAATATTATGTATGGGCTTTATGATAATGTATGAAATTAAAAAGATTGATCTATACTTACCCAGTGACTACGACTACGAAATCCATAATGTTCCAGCCGTTTCGTAAGTACGACCCTTTATGTAGAACAAAGCCCAGGGCGATAATCTTTACGGCGGCTTCCACGCAGAAAATGCCCAGAAAGTACGGTTCCGTGAGTTCCTAGAAAAATAACGGACGAAAAAAATGGTTATTTGACACCACAAGTATACAGAGGTAGAGTTTGTTCTTATGCTGAGGTCACATTTCCAAGCCGGGGCCCGAATGGAACGAAAAGTATTACATAAAGGACAACAAATCGCAAAAAAAGTTAATAATAAGTTAAAAAAAACTAATAATGGGAACTATTTGCGTATATTATTGATATAAATTGATGATTTTTCGTTAATCGAATCAGCCTGGCTGGGCCCCGGTTTGGAAATGTGATCTCAGCCTAAGATAGAACATTCAGCGGACGAAAGAGGGTTGTTTTTACTCTGATGTTATGTTCAGCACCAAGGACAGGGAACATATTCCAGATGCACTGTACAATAACGTTGTCTTCTGTTATATCGTTTCCGTGAGGTCCTAGAAAAATGACGGACGGAAAAAATGGTTATTTGACACCACAAGAATAAAAAGTAGAATTCTTACATATAACATAGAGCGAATGAAATGGATTTTAGGTACATTTTGTTAAAGTCTAAGTCCGTCTTCACATTATTGTAACCCTTATATAACATGTGAGTGGTTCTCCTGAGCCTTATTGTCTGGTGAAAATTGCAGTAAATAACAAGGATAAAAAAGCATTACTAAGAGGGATGGTTTTACTGATGTTATGTTCAGCACCAAGGACAGGGAAGGTATGCCGGACACAGGGACTGAACAACGATGTTATCTTCTGTTATCCCTTATTGTATTTGCAACATAATATTAACAATCAAGATTTTCTGGATGAGATTTAATGAATTCATGAATTCCTAATAACAAAAATGCAAGATAAGTAATAGTAATGATAAGAATGGAAAAACACAAAAGAGAAGAAGCAGCGAAAAAAAACTTTCAGTTAAAAGAAGTGGAAGTAAAAGGCATTCTATAGTAACTGAACGTGCTCGTAATTCTAATGAGCTAGAAGTGCGTACACAAGCGTTCTAGTTCGTCCTTGGCCTTGTAAGATACAGTAAAACTGCAAGCCAACATTAACAGAGTTATTACGTTAGGATCATCTTTTGGGACTTCTACTTCGATCTCTAATTATCTTGCGGAAGTAGAGCTATGCGGCGTAAGGTTTTTTTTCTTAGGCCACACCAAGTAAATTTCATGGATGACGTCCGCGCGCGCATTGATTTTGGCCTGTTCCTAGAAAAAAAAGAAATTCCGCTTCCTGTAACTATGACCAAAGAGTCACGACAGTGCCGCAAATAGGTTTGTACGGACCAAAGCTCATGAAGCATCAAGCAAGGAAATCATGACTTCCATTAGGAATTCAGTTTGGTACAAGAAACTTGCTGACCGCTCCATCTATCTCCCCAAAGCACAAGACGACAACTGCTGTTCCACCTGATTTATTGCTGTTTTGGTGATGAATAAAAGACTTCTTGCTTGTTACACTGTGTCACCTCATTCAATTTGTGTCTTAACATTTGTCGTCTCTTAGTATATTTCTAATCTAGGCATCTTGCTTTTTAGGGCCCTTCTTGGTTTTTTTTTCGCCCTCTCGCATTAGATTTAGGGTCTCCAAAGGACGTCATCCATAAAATCTACTTGGTGTGGCCTTACGGCTTTGTACTGTGGTCGACTCACATCCCGTGAGATATTTTGGATGAATGCGCCGCTCCAGTCTATCAAAATTGAATCAACAGAGACGGTTTGGGGCAGTCAAATATGACAGCGGTGTTATGCTTAGGTCACATTTCCAAACCGGGGCCCGGCCGGGCTATCTGTACAAACGAAAAATTACAAATTCGTATCAAGAATATACAGAAATAGTGCACATGATTCTCATTGATAAAGTTTCTGCGTTTTCTTGTCTTCTATATCGTACTTTTTGTTCCCAAAAGCTGCCCGTCCGGGCCCCGTGTGGGAATTGTGGCCTCAGCATTAGGCATGAAAAAATGGCCGATCTCTTGCTGCCCCTATTGAAGGAATAAACGTCCCCCCTCCCCCTCTTTATATAGAGAACTCGCGGGTCTAAGTCATATTTACACGTCCCTGCACGGTCTGCAAAACGGGTTTCCAATCAAAACGACGACTGGAGTCTAGACCGGTGGATTTTACAACACCTCTGTCGGGCTATCCTGCCGCCCAGTCTGGTCCAGTCCAGGCAACATTTACCGATTACATCCGATAGTTGATCGCGTTTAGGCCACACCGACTTAATTTTATGGATGACATCCTCTGAAGACCCCCAAACTAGTGCGCGCGGGCGAGTAAAAAAATACGGTCAAAAATAAAAAGTCTACTAAACCACAGGAATACAGAGCTAGTATTGTAAATTCGCGGAAGTACATACTGTGACATACACGGCAAGCTGGTACATGCTGGCCTTTTCCGGAATTTATGAATCGGCACTGTAGGTATGTACTGAGTTCTTGAGTCGTGGAGCTTCGGTAGCCTGGGTGCCCGGCTACGTATTGTCGCTAACTACCATGGTTTACCCAGGCCTAGAGCCAGGCCAGAACCTCGGAGGACGTGATCTTAAGCTTTTTCTTTAGAACAGGCCAAAATCAATGCGCGCGTGGATGTCATCCATAAAATTAAGGCGGTGTGGCCTAATACATCCAATGGTTGATAGCTTTTAGTTATGAAAACTGTCACTTCTAGATTATTCAGGGGGTAGGTCTACTGTCCCAAGTTCATGAACCCGTGTTTCTTTTTATTCTTTGAGAACAAGCAAAAATCAACGCCCGTGGATGTCATCCATAAAATTAAGGCGGTGTGGCCTTACATCCAATGGTTGATAGCGTTTAGCCATGAAAACTGTCACTTCTAGATTATTCAGAGACTAGATCTACTGTCCCAAGTTCATGAACCAGTGTTTCTTTTTCTTTTTTTCAGAACAGGCGAAAATCAATGCGCGCGTGGATGACATCCATACAATTGCATGGCCTTACATCCAATGGTTGATCGCGTATAGTCATGAAAACTGTCACTTCTAGATTATTCAGGGACTAGATCTACTGTCCCAAGTTCGTGAACCCGTGTTTCTTTTTCTTTTTTTTTGAGAACAGGCGAAAATCAATGCGCGCGTGGATGTCATCCATAAAATCAAGCCGGTGTGGCCTTACATCCAATGGTTGATCGCGTATAGTCATGAAAACTGTCACTTCTAGATTATTCAGAGACTAGATCTACTGTCCAGGGTTAACGAACCCGTGTCTGAGCCATTCATCTGAACAGCTAAAGCATATTACCGCATCAAACGTGCCCGGCTCAGAATCCATTTAGCAATGTAAATAATTGATCGGAAATAAATCACTATTTCCCCGGGTGACGGCGTACTCCGAATTTCGAACTCGACACCTTCAAAGGTACAGGGCTGGAAATACTGGTTGCATGTGCGCCTTAGTGCACCCAAATTTGGAGCTGTGCACCCAATTTTTTCTCTGGGTGCACCAGTGCACCCAAATATTTTAATAGGTCTAACATATGTAAAGATGTTAAATGTATAGTAGTTACAGCATATTATATTTTATTCTTAACATCTTAAGTGTCAAAAAAATTATGCAATCATTGTTATAGTACTTTTCTGAAACGTATAGTTTTTGCTGACATTCTACTTATTTATTTTATATTGTGCACCTTAAATATTTTTTGTGCACCCAATTTTTTAGGTTGGGTGCACCAGCTTCCCCAAAATGAATTTCGAGCCCTGCAAGGAGCATTGTGATTACGCAGAGCTGGAAATGTAGTTTGCCCGGAACTGTATGTTTCAAAATTGGATTTCTCTGAAAATGAGCTGCAGTTTTTAACGGTGGAAAATACGAATTATTGTTGGCATTAGACCAAGGATCGGTTAAACTCGTCCTGCGATCGACATACGATCGCGAATTAAAGACATTTTTGGGGTACTTGCATGTAACCTGCTCAGATTCAGTCGTCTTGTTACGAAAAATACTGACTAGAAAAGTAACATTTGCAAAGCCAACGCGTAATATTTGCCTTCACATATGGCCTGCTCTGTTAATTCTTACTCAAGCACATTCACATATATGGTCAGACAGGAGTCTAAATCCCTCCTACTATAAATTTGTAACATTATGTAACCCAACACCAGTTACCATGGTGAGAGACAGTCTGGTTCAGTCAGGTGAGAGGCCACTGTTTGGAGAAGAAGAAGAAACGTAGCAAAAACAATATGTTTTCCGTCGGTAAACATAAATAGATCCTTGTCGGCAGTTAGTTCTTTCATAGCCTGATCGAAAACTCCAGGGCGTCAAACCTAGAACAGCCATGGAGCCGCTAGTTGAAAGACAACGTTGTCTTGATTTTCGAAAAATATATTCTGACAAAATAATTTCTTGTGCTCGACACGTCTTCTTGTTCCTTGGCAGCCAGACGTCTTTTATGTAAGCATGACGCCGAAAGACGGTGCGCTACATTTCAATGAGCTTTGATCCAAGATATTCTGCCGAGGCGACACCCAGAACCGGGGGATATTACGGCATATATTACAGCGGGGAGGAAGAGTTATATCATGTGCTTTGCTTCTTTTATATCGGGAAATCTCATCTGGTCGCTCGCAGCACTGCAGTAAGATGCTGTGAGCAGGAGAATGGTAGGGTGATAGAGCAAATGTTTGGGTTTGTGGGTGGGTGAGTTTGGGTGTGTATGTGTGAGTGAGTGAGTGGGTAAGTGAGTGAATGGGTAGGTGGGTGAGTGAGTGAGTGAGTGAGTGAGTGAGTGAGTGAGTGAGTGAGTGAGTGAGTGAGTGAGTGAGTGAGTGAGTGAGTGAGTGGGTGGGTGAGTGAGTGAGTGAGTGAGTGAGTGAGTGAGTGGGTGAGTGAGCGAGTGAGTCGGTGGGTGGGTGGGGAGTTAGGTGAGTTTGTGAGCGAGTTAGTTACATGTAGTTAGTGAGTGAGCGAATGAGTGAGTGAGAGAGAAAAGAGAGGAGGAGAGCAAGATTGTCATTCGTCAATGAGTCAAGCCATATTATTCGTGACCCTATTGCCGACATTTTAACG